ATTACATATATTCCAGACTCCCCTCTGAAATTCATCGTATTTGCTCAAGGTTTGATATGGTTTTTAAGCCTTGTTGTGCAGCAGTCTGCAGAATTCTGTGCAGAATTGCCTGGAATCAGGTTGCAACTGAAATCACCCACTTATCCTTGAGCAAATAAGCTGATGTCTATAGGGGACTCTCATCACACATATTCCAGACTCCTCTCTGAAATTCATCGTATTTGCCCAAGGTTTGATATGGTTTTTAAGCCTTGATGTGCAGCAGTCTGCAGAATTCTGTGCAGAATTGCCTGGAATCAGGTTGCAACTGAAATCACACACTTCTCCTTGGGAAAATGAGCTGATTGTTATAGGGGACTCTCATTACATATATTCCAGACTCCCCTCTGAAATTTATCGTATTTGCCCAAGGTTTGATATGGGTTTTAAGCCTTGTTGTGCAGCAGTCTGCAGAATTCTGTGCAGAATTGCCTGGAATCAGGTTGCAACTGAAATCACCCATTTATCCTTGAGCAAATAAGCTGATTTTTATAGGGGACTCTCGTCACACATATTCCAGACTCCCCTCTGAAATGCATCGTATTTTCCCAAGGTTTGATATGGGTTTTAAGCCTTGTTGTGCAGCAGTCTGCAGAGTTCTGTGCAGAATTGCCTTGAATCAGGTTGCAATTGAAATCACCCACTTCTTCTTGGGAAAATGAGCTGAATTTTATAGGGGGATTTGATCACACATATTCCAGACTCCCCTCTGAAATTCATCGTATTTGCCCAAGGTTTGATATGGTTTTTAAGCCTTGTTGTGCAGCAGTCTGCAGAAATCTGTGCAGAATTGCCTTGAATCAGGTTGCAATTGAAATCACCCACTTCTCCTTGGGAAAATGAGCTGATTTTTATCGGGGACTCTCTTCACACATATTCCAGACTCCCCTCTGAAATTCATCGTATTTGCCCAAGGTTTGATATGGTTTTTAAGCCTTGTTGTGCAGCAGTCTGCAGAATTCTGTGCAGAATTGCCTGGAATCAGGTTGCAACTGAAATCACCCACTTATCCTTGAGCAAATAAGCTGATTTTTATAGGGGACTCTCATCACACATATTCCAGACTTCACTCGGAAATTCATCGTATTTGCCCAAGGTTTGATATGGGTTTTAAGCCTTGTTGTGCAGCAGTCTGCAGAGTTCTGTGCAGAATTGCCTTGAATCAGGTTGCAATTCAAATCACCCACTTCTTCTTGTGAAAATGAGCTGAATTTTATAGGGGACTCTCACCACACATCTTCCAGACTCCCCTCTGAAATTCATCGTATTTTCCCAAGGTTTGATATGGTTTTTAAGCCTTGTTGTGCAGCAGTCTGCAGAATTCTGTGCAGAATTGCCTGGAATCAGGTTGCAACTGAAATCACCCGCTTATCCTTGAGCAAATAAGCTGATGTCTATAGGGGACTCTCATCACACATATTCCAGACTCCCCTCTGAAATTCATCGTATTTGCCCAAGGTTTGATATGGTTTTTAAGCCTTGATGTGCAGCAGTCTGCAGAATTCTGTGCAGAATTGCCTGGAATCAGGTTGCAATTGAAATCACCCACTTCTCCTTAGGAACAAGAGCTGATTTTTATAGGGAAATTTGATCACACATATTCCAGACTCCCCTCTGAAATTCATCGTATTTGCTCAAGGTTTGATATGGTTTTTAAGCCTTGTTGTGCAGCAGTCTGCAGAATTCTGTGCAGAATTGCCTTGAATCAGGTTGCAATTGAAATCACCCACTTCGCCTTGGGAAAGTGAGCTGATTTTTATCGGGGACTCTCGTCACACATATTCCAGACTCCCCTCTGAAATTCATCGTATTTGCCTAAGGTTTGATATGGTTTTTAAGCCTTGTTGTGCAGCAGTCTGCAGAATTCTGTGCAGAATTGCCTGGAATCAGGTTGCAACTGAAATCACCAAGTTATCCTTGAGCAAATAAGCTGATTTTTATAGGGGACTCTCATCACACATATTCCAGACTCCCCTCTGAAATTCATCGTATTTGCCCAAGGTTTGATATGTTTTTTAAGCCTTGATGTGCAGCAGTCTGCAGAATTCTGTGCAGAATTGCCTGGAATCAGGTTGCAACTAAAATCACCCACTTCTCCTTGGGCAAATGAGCAGATTGTTAAAGGGGACTCTCAACACACATATTCCAGACTCCCCTCTGAAATTCATCGTATTTGCCCAAGGTTTGATATGGTTTTTAAGCCTTGTTGTGCAGCAGTCTGCAGAATTCTGTGCAGAATTGCCTGGAATCAGGTTGCAACTGAAATCACCCACTTATCCTTGAGCAAATAAGCTGATGTCTATAGGGGACTCTCATCACACATATTCCAGGATCCCCTCTGAAACTCATCGTATTTGCCCAAGGTTTGATATGGGTTGTAAGCCTTGTTGTGCAGCAGTCTGCAGAATTCTGTGCAGAATTGCCTGGAATCCGGTTGCAACTGAAATCACCCATTTATCCTTGAGCAAATAAGCTGATTTTTATAGGGGACTCTCGTCACACATATTCCAGACTCCCCTCTGAAATGCATCGTATTTTCCCAAGGTTTGATATGGGTTTTAAGCCTTGTTGTGCAGCAGTCTGCAGAGTTCTGTGCAGAATTGCCTTGAATCAGGTTGCAATTGAAATCACCCACTTATTCTTGGGAAAATGAGCTGAATTTTATAGGGGACTCTCACCACACATATTCCAGACTCCCCTCTGAAATTCATCGTATTTTCCCAAGGTTTGATATGGTTTTTAAGCCTTGTTGTGCAGCAGTCTGCAGAATTCTGTGCAGAATTGCCTGGAATCAGGTTGCAACAGAAATCACCCACTTATCCTTGGGCAAATGATCTGATTTTCATAGGGGACTCTCATCACACAAATTCCAGACTCTCCTATGAAATTCACTTCATTTCGTAGAGGTTTGATATGTTTTTCATGCTCTTCTCTGCAGGCGGGAGCAGATCACTTTGTTGAAATGTACAACATTTGTTTTGTATTTAAATGCCATTGTTATACGGGTGCTAATGAGCCCTTATTGATAGGGCACTCATCTCACACTTATAGGATTATCCGTTTTAGAATTGGGTGTGCTAATCAAGCAAAGTTCATGCTTGTGTTTGTTTTATGGGTTACAAAAACTAGCACTATACGTGCTACGCGAGTACCCCTATAGCGGTACTGTGGGATGTACACGGTCATTCGGTTTCTGACACGTGTGACAGGTCGCAGAGACTGCTCTATTTCCACGTTGCGGAGGGAACCATGCGGATGGGATAGTTATACGTGGCAGCCTGTCATGAACCTGTCACAGGACACCTTTCTTTTTTTTTAGGGGCTGCCCGTCACCATTTCGTACTAGGTCGAGGCAAAGCTGAGACCATGCAATGCACCGCATAACATGCAATATGCTTACATGGCATATAAGGTTGGCAATCAACCAACCAGCAACTGAAGTAGAACATTTAGGAGAACAATCTGGCGACAAATAGGCCAATCACTGCAGAAGGATGCAAAGAGTAGTTCGCAGATGTTCGAAGGGAAATGGTGAGAAGCCTAATATTTTGATGTAGGGGGCAGAAAAGTCTTACTACGCCTGGCGTTTGTAGCAAAGCCTTTCCCTCCTTCTGTGAGGACGAGAGCACAACCAATTCTACCAGCGAAGCAGAAGTTGTTATCAGGGTGGGTGCACCAAAGCTCAAGGTCATTCTCGCCATTCCAATCTGAGTCTTGGTTCCACAACTAGCCTCCTCACAAGCTCCCCTCTCATTCTAGTGTCGGCCTCAAATCCTGCAGGCGGACAGTGTATGGTAGTAACCGTATAGCTTCCTGCCATCTTCTGGCTTACTTACGCGATGTCGTCCCAGTTAATCACAGATGGCTGCGGATTGTCTGTACAACTAGGGCGGGAGTCTTATGAAATGTTAATCGCTCGTCAGGAAGAGTGGAACGAGGCGTTGTTACTTTTCGGCCTTGTGTATGTATCCAAGCGCGGTTTGTAACGCACGCCGACTTCATCGGCACGTTAAACCCTTGTATTTTTAGACACGCACCTGCTATCTTCTTACCTCTGCGACATGTCGGCTTGGATGCAGGGAGGTTGCCAAGGACAAGATTGGGGATCCTCGCGTTCGCAGGGACATAAAGATTCTGGCTCCTACCGAGCATCGGCGTTTGAGGTCTGCCGTCCCGCGTGTCCCCAGTTGTGGCAGCGAACATCGGTCGCTGTTGGACTACCAGATGGTTTTAATACCCATGATATCAGAGTGAGTTTCTTGACATGAATCCGCAACGTCTGTCGATGACACCAGCTTATCTTGCTAATCCAAACTTCGATGTACCGCAGAGTCCCTGTTGTTCACTCGACGGCGATCAGTCTCATGGTGCTGATGAACCCGCAAGATTTGTTAGCACATCCCCGCGGAGAGTACCGTACGCGTGTGCTACACTTCGACCCTAAATCTCCAATCCCAACCCATCGCCACAGCGACCATGCCAAGGAGGTGTTCGAGTAAGTGTCACTCCTTAATCAGATGTGCGGTTTGTATGGACGCATGTTATTGATTATTTGCGACCCCCTTGCCCTGCAGCTCGCTTATTCGACAACTAGATGTGGAATACAGCCGAGGTCGCAGGGTCTCTGGCAGCCACGCCGAAGCGGTGCAGAAAGATTTGAGGGATCGCCTAGAGGAACTGATTCTGGAGGAAGGCAGGGTAAGGAGCCTCTATTTTTTAGATTTAAGCGTTGTATGATATTAAGCTTGTAAAATGTTACGGGAGTGTCTGACAACCACCTTTTCACGCACATGTTGCAGATCAACAAGGTTCAGGGACAGAGGCAAGTGGGTTCCGGGCTGCACGTTACCCATCTGTTCAGCAAGTTGCTGGACAAATGGGGGGATGTCATGGCGATTCAAACTGCAGAGCCGATGATCGCCTTAGGGAAGGGGAAAAACAGCGCGAAAGAAATTCGGAGTATGCTGGAGTCGACCTGCAGGGCCTTCTTCGACCTGCAAGGAGTCCAGCTCTGTCCCGCCCCGGATGCAGTCATGACGACCCATGAGGCTCGAGTGGTGGAGAGCGCACCGGAACGGTCCGGGAATACCATGGAGCCGGCGGCACAGAAAAGATCCGAAGCGGTAGAGGGACAGAGAGACGTACCTGCCGCAAACCGGGACGCAAATCCAAGAGTAGGGGAAATTTCATATTCCCGCCGACCTGCACCGGGGGGTGCACTACTGAGTGGCCCGACATCAAGGTCAGCCCGTGCGGACGAGCGTGTTAGGTCTGGAGTTAGGCAGCTCAGGTTTGCTGATCGGGTTAGGAGGCCGCCGGAACGCGAAGCACGGACGGAGACCGACTTGGCAAGTGTAGCAGATGAAGGCGAGGAGGGTGTAGAAGATCCACAGCTGCCAAGTCAGGTCGAACAAGCAGAGGAGCAGTGGAGGAAGGCGGCTGATGATAAGCGGATGGCCGAAGCAGAAGCCAAGAGGAGACGGGCTGAAGAGAGGCAACGGCGCCGTGATGGCGACACCGATCCTATCGTCTCTTTCCCGGGAACAGGAGACATACGTGAAGCATGGGAGCGTGGGGCACGAGCCGCTGCAAGGGCACACGTGGGAGTGGCAGGAGAGGAGCTCGCCAGCAATGTGCGGCAGCATATCGAGGAGGATAGGGGATACGTGAAAGTTCACTTGCCCAGCGTAAAGCGGAAGGCGGCTGAAGAGGCCCGGAGAGGGGACGTCGACGTGCCAGAGAATTCGGGAGAGGCGAAAAAGAAGGCGCAGAGCAACGCGGGTGCAAAGGCTCATAAGATGGCGGAGGTAGAGGCGCACCAGAAAGCAGAGGATGCGGCCCATCGGTTCGTCGATGCAGAGGCGGCACTTACGGCAGAGGACGGGGCGCCAAAGGAAGCAGAGGCTGCGGCGCAGCAGAAGGTGGGTGCAGAGGCGGTCAAGAGTGCGGAGGCAGTCGCGCGTAAAGAAGCGGGTGCAGCAGCAGAGCTGACGTCGGAGGCAGTCGAGCTGCAGGTGGTGGAGGCAGTGGCGCAGAAGGAATCAGAGGCAACGGCGAGCCAGAAGGATGAGGCAGCGGCGCAGCAGAATGATGAGGCAGACGCACATAAGGAATCAGCGGCAGCAGCGCAGCAGAAGGATGAGGGTGCGGCGCCCAGGATGGTTGAGGCAGAGGCGCAGAAGGAATCAGAGGCAGCGGCGCAGCAGAAGGAGGAGGGTGCGGCGCCGAAGATGGTTGAGGCAGAGGCGCAGAAGGAATCAGAGGCAGCGGCGCAGCAGAAGGAGGAGGGTGCGGCACCGAAGATGGTTGAGGCAAAGGCGCACAAGGAATCAGACGCAGCGGCGCAGCAGAAGGAGGAGGGTGCGGCGCCGAAGATGGTTGAGGCAGAGGCGCACAAGGAATCAGAGGCAGCGGCGAGCCAGAAGGATAAGGCAGCGGCGCTGCATATGGAGGAGGCAGACGCACATAAGGAAGGAGAGGCGCGGAATAAGGCAGAAGCAGCGGCGCGGCAGAAGGCGGAGGCAAAGGAGCAGAAACAGGCTGCGGAAGAGGCGCTACAACTGGCTCGGGCAGAAGCGCGGAAGAAGGTTGTTGTAGAGGCGCGGCAGAAGGCGGAGGGTGAGGCGCAGAAGATGGCAGAGGCCGAGGAGCAGAAGCAGGCTGAGGCAGACGCACGTAGGAAGCTAGATGGAGAGGAGGGTTCAGATGGGAATAAAATGATATAGACAGAGGGACGGGAGACGGCGGGTGCTGAGGGGCACATCATCGCAGAGGAAGAGGGGCAGCATGACGAGGAGGCAGCGTCGCAGGTATTCGCATACCGAGAGACGCAGAGCATGGCAGAGACAGAGCGTCAAAATACTATGGAGGAGGTTCGTGTGGTCCCGGAGGCTGGAGTGGGGCACTACGAGGGAGATGCGCTGGAAACAGAAGAGGAGCAGAATGAGGAGGATACGGTACATCCGGCAGTCCGGATATTTTTGGGAGGAAGTCCGACGCGGGGACCAGGAACCGGGGTAGAGGGGCCATGGAGGGTGGCAGACGATGGGGCGCCTAGGGATACAGTGGATCTCAACAGGCAGAGGCGGCCTACCCTTCACCAGAGAGCAGTGGAGAGGAATCTCGGCCAAGGCGGGGTGGCAGAAGCGTTTTGGCAGGTAGAGTGGGTCGAGGCAGAGACGGCAATACGGCGGATGCTGCAGCGCACGAGTACAGTCCTGGTCGAACAAGGTGACAGGTTCGTCGAGGCCGAAAGCTGGGACATAAGCCCGGCAGAGGTAACGCGTCGTCTGACGCTCTTAGCCCGAATGGTGACGCAGACGTTCTGCAACTTGGCGGCCCGCAACAGCAGCATCAGTCGCGACGTGGCCGATCTGACCGTCCATTACTGCGGCGACGCCCTGGCCAACCTGGAAGAAGTCCGCCATGGAAACGAGGAACGGCGGCGCCAAGCTGAAACGGCGGCCAGGTTTTGCGAGCAGGTGGACACGAGACTCTCCAACTTGCGGGAGAGTATCGTAAGGGTGAGTGATCAGGTTCGCCAGTCGGGAGGGGGGATGGCGGAGGGCACGTTAAAGGGGGTGGAAGAGAGGTTGAGAGAGGTTCTGAGAGAAGACTCTGAGCGGCGGAACAGGGATAGACTGCAGGACGAGGAGCGGAGGCAGAAGGCCACGAGGAAGGAAGCAGACGCCGCAGAGAGACGGAAGAAGGAACAACAGCAGGAGGAAGAGCGTCGGCAGAAGGAGATGAGAGAGGGAATGAAGGAGATGAAGGAGGCGATGATGAAGGAGATGAAGGCAGAAATGAAGGAGATGAAGGATGGGATGGTAAACCAGATTGTGGGGAGGTTGAGCGCGGTTTTGCGAGAAGAATCCGAGCGGCAGAAGAAGGCGAGGCAAGAGGACGCGGAGCGGCGACAACAGCAGGACGCGAAGAGGAAACAAGTGGCGGACGACGAGGAGAGACAGAAGAAGAAACAACTGGACGAGCAATGGCGGAAGGAGGAGGAGGAGGAGAAGAGGAAGGATGTAGAGGCCACAGAGCGGCGGAGGAAGAAGAAACATCAGGAGGAAGAGCGACGGCAGAAGGAGGTGGAGGCGGGAATGAAGGAAGTGATGGAGGCTGTGAAGGAGATGAAGACGGGGATGAAGGGGTGGAAGGAGGGGATGCTAAGTGAGGTGGAAAAGCGGCTGTCAGTAGTTCTGAGATTGGACGCAGAGCGGCGGCAAAAGGAGGAGCAGGGTAGGAAGGCAACGGAGGGAGATCGGCGACAGAAGGAGGATGCACAGAGGAAGGAGGCTGAGGAGGACGATCGAGAGGAAAGGGAGAAACAACAGGAGAAGGAGCACCAGCAAAATGAGGAGGCGCAGAGGAAGGAGGCAGAGGAAGCAGAGCGGGTGGAGAGGGAGAAACAGCAGGAGATGGCGCGCCTGCAGAAGGAGGAGGCGCAGCGGAAAGATGCAGAGGAGGCCGAGAGGCAGGAGAGGGAGAAACAGCAGGAGATGGCGCGCCTGCAGAAGGAGGAGAGGCAGAGGAAGGAGGCAGAGGAGGTAGAGCGGCAGCAGAGGGCGAAACAGCAGGAATTGGACCGCCTGCAGAAGGAGGAGGCGCAGAAGAAGGAGGCAGAGGAGGCCGAGCGACAGCAGCGGGCGAAACAGCAGGAGATGGAGCGCCTGCAGAAGGAGGAGGCGCAGAAGAAGGAGGCAGAGGAGGCCGAGCGGCAGCAGCGGGCGAAACAGCAGGAGATGGAGCGCCTGCAGAAGGAGGAGGCGCAGAAGAAGGAGGCAGAGGAGGCCGAGCGGCGGCAGAGGGCGAAACAGCAGGAGATGGAGCGCCTGCAGAAGGCGGAGCAGTACCGAGCAGAGAAGAGGGCCAGACTTACATCCTACGCGGAACAGCAGCGGCAACTGGAGGCAAAGGCAAAGGCGATGGCTGAAGAGACGGAACGATTGGCAAGGGAGATGGAAGAGGAGGATTTGACCATGCAGGGGGAGGGGACCTGGAAGGGAGTCGAGGAGGAAATAGCTGAGGGCCTGGGGAGTTTGCTGTTGATTGAGAGCGGGGAGGCGAATGTAGCAGAGGGCGTGGCTATTGTTCGCGGATAGAACGTAGAGGTGTCCAGGAGGCGGCCTAGACAGGAGGACAGGGAGCCGGAGGGTCATGCGGCTAAGAGACGGCGTGCAGCTGGTATACAGGAGTTGATACCGATAATCCCAGGGGAAAAGAAAGGGATGAAGATCGACAAGTGTGACAACAGGAAAAACGCCGTAGTGGACGACAAGGGTAAGACTTTGGGTGTCTGCCTGCCGTTCAGGGGAAGCGGGTTCTCTCAACGGGGCGAGGGAGCTTTGCAGAAGTGGACGTCTGAGCAGACCGTCGGCGGCCGGAAGCGGAACCTCGGCTCTCACAAAACGGTGTGGGAGAGGGCATACACGGTCGCAGTCTGCTGGAAGTTCTACTTCCCGGATATTGACATGCAGGCATACGGCATGAATCCAAACCGTATTAACAAGTGGCGGGAAGACCTCGACTTCACAACGTGGCTTCCAACAGGGGTGTGGAGCGTCATCAACGAGCTCCACCTGGACAAACCGGACGGGTGAGTGTTTATGTGATGGACAGTTGCAACTTCTAAACACCCGCGAAGTTCGATGGTTCTGATCTTGCGACACTGGTGTCTTGTGCAGATTCTCACTCGTTCAAACCAACACGGCTCTTTGGCAGCAGCAGGGGGATGGCTTTCAGGTAGCTGCCTGCGCTGGTGTCGGAATAATTGCGTGGCAGAAGATGGTGGGAGGCGTGGAGGGTGAAAACGGCTATTCGACGGAAGAACACACAGTTGGACTTGCCGCCACATTGTCTGTAATGTGGGCCGCATCCACGAATGTGGACCAGACCCAGTGGGAGACGGGCGCAACATCAGCTGCACGTGGAACTTCTACGGCCATAGCATCTTCTACTGCCAGATCGTCCACTGCTGCCACCGCCTCGTCGGCTGCCTCGTCATCTTCTGCGGCCGATGTGTCCTCTGCCGTCCTCGATGCCCTTGCGACGCTTGCAGCCTCGGTTGCTTGCATTGCGGTTGAGGCGATGAGGTCGGTCAAGGATCAGGAGCATGACAAGGAAGCGTGGATTCTGCCCCTGTCGGATGCGCTGCTGAAAGCGCTTCCGGCAGAGTCGCGAGCGGCCGGGGATACGAAGGGGATGACGAGGGTGGTGGCAAAGGTGGTGACCTCTTGGTGCCTATGCAGCATGGCATCAAGAGGCCTTCGCCAGCACCAGGGCGTCTGCCTCGGAGTCCTGCAGAAGAAGTTGGGCGGCCGGGATACCACAACAGGGGCGGATAAGGAGAAGAAAACCAAGAAATCGTCCGCGAAGGGGAACGCGACGAAGGATGCGTCGACGGAGGAGAACACCGGCACTGGCGGCCAGGAGTGATAGAGGCAGACGGGTTCATTGGAGGTCTTGTTAGTACCGCAGTAGAAATAGATTTTCCTTTCCGTTTTTTTTTTTTAACCGTGTATAAATATAGGTGTTGTTGTATACAATACAATGAGAGATGTATTTTTGCTATGCAATGTGAAGAAACAAGGAATGGAAGAAGAGGGGGTTGCACTAGCAGCAGTTGGCATACATATAGGAAACCCTAATTGGGTTGTACTCGCTATAGAGTACCCCACTGTAGGCTAGACAATTATAACATTCTGACACACCCCCATAGCCGAAGTGGGGTGTAATCAGCACAGTGAGCAAGCAGGCATAGAGCAGGAGTTCACAATAGCGAGCAAAGCTAGATTTAATCACAACGGGCAAGTGAGGAGGAGGAGGAACTGTGGAGGGAGAGAAGATGGGAGGCAACGACTGAAGCTGCAGAGGCACGGGCACAGGAGCGGCTGACTCAGTGGCTACCGAAGCAAGGGCGACGGACTACAGGCGCTGCAGGCGACACGACAGCTACCTTCACACAACCTCCTCCAACTGCCCCACACCCTCAACACACACCCCCTGCTCAGACCCTAGCTCCACTCCCACAGCACCCCCCTTTCACACACCCCCTGCTGTACCCTAGGTTCACTCACACCCCACCCCCTAGCACCACTCCGTCGACTCCCACACACCCACCCCCCTCAGCGGCAGCTGCAGCAGTGGGAGACAGAGGAGGAGGAGGAGCAGGGGAGACCACACACCCGCCACCCCCCACTCGCCACCCCCAGACCCTAACACAGGGCAGGGCGGGACGGCGGGTAGGGAGGTTACGGGGGGGGGGGGGGGGCCGACGCGCGGCCTCCCAGGGCGCCAAAACAGGCGGCAGAAGGGGCGGCGCTCGCCCCCCCCCCCCAGGTCGCCCCTCCCGTCGCCTGTCGAGGCGACCTGAGGGGGCCGCTCGCGGCCCCCCAGGGAGCCGCGACGGGCGACGGGAAAAGAGGGGGGGGGCGGTGCACGGGCCCCCGGTGCGCCGCGACAGGCGACGGAGCATGGCCGGGGCGGGGCCGGGGCAGGGTCGAGGCAGGGCCGAAAGGGGCGGCGACGGGGCCGCAAGGGGCGGCAACGGGGCCGCTGGAGGCGGCGACGGGGCCGATAGGGGCGGGGACGGGGCCGCTAGGGGCGGCGACGGGGCCGCTGGAGGCGGCGAAAGCCGATAGGGGCTGCGACGAGGCCGCGAAGGGGCCGCGAGGGGCCTGGAAGGGCGGCGACGGGCTGCTAGGGGCGGCGACGGGGCCGCGAAGGGGCCGCGAGGGGCCTGAAAGGTCGGCGACGGGGCCGCTAGGGGCGGCGACGGGGCCGCTAGGGGCGGCGACGGGGCCGCGAAGGGGCCGCGAGGGGCCTGGAAGGGCGGCAACGGGGCCGCTAGGGGCGGCGACGGGGCCGCGAAGGGGCCTCGAGGGGCCTAGAAGGGCGGCGACGGGGCCGCTAAGGGTGGCGCGAGGGGAAGAAAAATTCGTCGCACGCAACGTGGCGTGCAACGCACAGAGTAGCAGCGGAAGCAGTTAGGTGGGCCCACAGGCCAGGAGCGTAGATGCTCTGATAGCATGTGAAGAAACAAGGAATGGAAGAAGAGGGGGTTGCACTAGCAGCAGTTGGCATACATATAGGAAACCCTAATTGGGTTGTACTCACTATAGAGTACCCCACTGCAGGCTAGACAATTATAACATCCTGACATGCAAACCTTCACTACACTCGCGAAATTTGTAGGGCGCGTATGGAGCTAGCAATGCAGCCGATAGAACTCGCCATCAAAGGGAGGGCCAGCCGAATAAAATAATTGACGGCAGGACGGCCTTCTACGACACTTAATCTACGTTTAATACTCGGCTTCTACGAGGAGGTAGAAGTATGGGGCTAAACAATCGCATAACATCTTGTCTTAGGGAGCACCTTGTTAAGAATCGTATACGGTATTCCTATGCACAGACCTTTCTGCTATGGAGATTGAATTCCTCGACGCCAAATTCTGGAGGCAAATCGGAAACGACACTATACTGCAGAAAAACCCACGTATGGATAATATCTACCGTCATGGATAGGATCTTCGTTGCTACTAGTAGAATATGACACTCCTTTGCCTAGAAACATGTGCTGAGACTGAATACATCCACGCAAAAGTCTACCGAGTGGCCTAAGAACACACATCTACAATCGTGAGAGTGAATTCATCGACGCCGCTCTATAGAATAACATCGTATACGACATGAGTCCGCAGAATTTCGCCCGGTGTATACCATCGATGTGTGCTTCAATGCATAGACCAGAAAAACATTCTACGAAAAACAGCGCGTCCAGGGAAGAAGGTGGCATACAAGCCCCAAATCGGGCTTCTACAGAGACAGACAAGTGCCTGTAGTGCATATTCAGTACAACCGGAATAAAGTACCCAAATAACTAAACCGCCCCACCCTAAAGGTACATGCCCCCTCATTTCTGCTCCTAGCGTTTCGACGCTTCGCCCTTCGCCTTTTCCCGTTCCGCCTTCTTCGCCGCAGCGGTTCGTTGTTTCTCCTCTTCCGCCTTCTCCTGCGCCATGTGTTCCTTGTGGATCTCCTCCCACTCATCATCCCCAAACAGCGAAGTTGCCCACTCCTGGTCGCGAAGGCCCTTCTTGACTAACAGCCAGCCCACTCTGCGTTGCGCCAAGTCGTTGACGGTCCTCTTTTCCGTCGACGAACCGGTCTTCTGTTTCTTGATGCGCGGAGTCTCATGCAGCACCGCCAGGCCGTTGGTGAATTCCGTGAAGTTGCACACGAGTAAAACCTTGTCCAGCAGCTTAATGGCCGTTGCGGTCGCCGCCTCGGAGCTGTCTTTTCTTAGCGTCTCCACGGAAACCATGACACGATGCACGCGACGCATCTTTCGCTCGCATGCACCCACAGCCATCCCGGGCGTACCTTTGTCAGCGAACCAAGAATATGCGGTGATGAAGCTGGAATTCTTGTTCTTCTTCTTATACCGGTCGAACTCTGCAAAGACTTCGCGCAGTGACCTGCCGCCCATGATGAGGCTTGGCTGCACCCACACTTTCCAGGCAGCAGCAATAGTGGTGGCTTCGCGCCAAGACACAACGACCACGACGAAGAATTCTTCCACGGCAACTGGTGCTTTGGATGCGTCCGTTGCCTGGTTTGATCCTGTTCCCGCACTCTTCGACGATCCGTCGATCTCTGCAGAGGTGTTTGCCGCGTCATCCCTGGCCGCAACAGACCTCTTGTATGCTTCGAACTCTGCAATGACCCGAGCCTTGTCCTCTCGCTCAGCGGCGAGTTTCTCCCTCAGTTCAGCGTTCTCCATCGCCAACTGAATTTCACGTCCTCTCAAAATCCCAAGCTCCTCCCTGAGCATATTGGCGGTGAGGTGCATCTTCTGCATCTTCTCTTCTGCGGTCGTGCGAAAGATAGCGTCCTGCAGAAACCAACACGGCAGAACTCAGCATGAACGAATAACTCCCTCTCTCTACCACTAATAGCAGGCACTTACTGCTTTGGCGGTGGTTTGGCCGGTTGCCCGAAGCTTCTCGCCCTGGAAGTGAGAGATAGCGACCAGGTACGCCCACTTTTGGAACAGCGGGTGGTTGCACAAGGGGCTCATCTGCACATATGGATGCCTCTCGCAATTGCACCGCGGGTTTCTCACGCCGTGCTGATGGCAGAACGCCCACATCATAGCCAGATCCTGTGCAACAACGAGGCGTCCGATGCTCGCGAGGGTCTCAAGGAACCTCGCCCCCGCATAGTGCCTCTTCAGCGGATCGGTCTGCGCAGCGTTCCATTCTTCGACCTGACAGGACGAGTATGCAGGAGAAATGCGACGGTTCATAATTGCATATCAAAATTAAGCTACGAACGCGAAGACTGTACACTAGCACGTACCTTCTTCCAACCCTCTTCGACCCTGGGGAAAATGTGAAGCCTCAAGAGATCCAAGAGCTGCAAACACTCATCCTTCTCCTTATCCTTATGCCGCGGAAGCTTGGCGCGGGCTCTGCCGATGTAGAAGTCTCCACGATCCCCGCTGAATCCTGCCAGCAGCCAAACCGGCTTGAACGGAATGCCGAACACATAACACCTCCGCAACTCCCCCTGCGCCCATCCGCCCAGAGTGCCGATATCGTTGTCGGAGCAACCGTCCTCATGGAGTTGTTGCGCTCCAGATCTGCGGAATGCATGTGTCACCTTGCTCAGAATCCATCTCGCCTTTGTCATGGCCCACTTAATCCAGGTGTTATGCGTTTTGTAGTGCATCTCGTCTTGCTTCTGCTTTCCCTGGTCGCCCTTCTTCAAAGAAAAGAAGAGGTGCGCTTTATTCCACAAGATCGGTTCAGAAAAGTCGAGAGGCTCGACGATACCGGGGCCGTAGCGCAGAGGAACGAGGTCGTAGATGAAATGAAGCCGCAGGAACACATGGCCCATTCCGCAGAGCCGCCAGTCCCTATGCCTTGCAAGAAACCGATGACTCAGCTTGTTGTTGGGGTTGGTCTTCGACTTCCTGGAAACAACGACGAGTACGAAAACGTCCAGATAGTCGTCGAGGTGTGATGTGCTCCGCGTCATGCGGACAAACAGGTTCCCAAGGCGAATCTTTCGAATGCTGCACCCTCTTCCGATAAATTGGTGTCCGAGGTGCATCATAACCGGGACTTGCAGAGCCTTCCAGAGAGGAAGCGAGATTTGTGACGGAGGCGTCCGCCACCAGATCTCTAGGAGCTCTTTTCGCAGAACAGTAAGATGCAGCGTCCTATACTGGCTTCCCGTATAGCAATCACCAATTGATCCACGGGTTTGATCTCGACCATCCCTGCATAGAATAGCACAGTAATTATGTAAACCATGTAGATCAAAATTCACACAAACAGAAAGCACACGTATATGTTACTCACGCGACTTGCTCGTCGTTCAGATCCTTCAGCTTGACTTTGAGATAATCCCGAGCATCCTTGATCCAGT